TAGGGGGTTGCACATTCACTGTACAGAGTTCTAAGTCAAGTATGGGCTTCGGATGATTGGCAGCTGGTGGCCACGATGATAGCTGTCCGAAATATTCAGCTCAAGATGGTCGCTCCGTTCCGATTCATGATGACTTCGCTCACAGATGGTTTCTAGTGACCTGTCCAATGGATCAACTGAAATAATATTCTGGATTTACCGACTTTTGGCCACTTCCATTCCCCTGGCTTTCCCTGTCCACAAGACTCCACGGTCGGCTTGCGCGCCCACTTTCACTTGACTTTTGCTGATTCGTCGGGTTAAGGTATGTTCGGAACTAGCTGGGATGTTTCTCCGAGATTTTAGTGGTGCCACCATTCGGTCTGATATTCAGTGCTTGGGTGAACCTCGTGGCACCGTGCCAGACGTACTACTCCCAGCACTTTTCAAAGAGGTGGCGATCTCTTTCCAGTGTGAATTCACATCTGACTGGAGCATATAGAAGACTCGAGAAGACGATACCGTAAATTCGTCTAACAGCTAAATCCGCCAGTCTCTCAGTCGTGAGGCGATTTTCTCGCTACTTACGCGACCCTGGAAAACGGAGAGATTATCGACTCCGGACGAGTGTGCGGTCGGAATCCACAAACGTGTTCCAAAAATGACCAGCAGTCAGTTATTGTCCGCGCCATCGATAACTGATGGCAAGGTGATCGATCACAAAGGCATCCAATCCGTCATATCGTGGTAAGGCCCAGCCTCTTTTGACGCACAGTCACGATGGTGACTTAGGTACGTTTGACGATTGGTGGAAGAGTGTAGGAAGCAATGATGCCAGTCTTTGGAGATGTCTGCACAACTTGCACAGATGGGTATCAAGATCAACGAGATGGCTCAGAGGTTAGAGCGCGAACTCCCGACCTAAGGTTGCCACCTTGTCGTCGTGGTCGGGCATCTGTGCTGCAATGATCCTGTGGGATATACTGGCTGGAACTCAGTTCCTAAAGGTTCAGCCGTGCCAGGAAGGCCAACGTGGAGCAGTCGACGAACAACAGTGAGTCCCAGTACTGCGAATAATCGTATCACGAGGCGGTCTGGAGGTAAAGTCGTACTGTCCTCTACGATAGGAGTGTGAAGGCAGTAAGGTGTTCCCCCAGGCGACCAGCATGTCCATATTTGTGGAAGCAGCGTTGCTGGCTTCCATCGAGTAAGGGCGGGTTACAAAAGATCGGCCCCAAAAACCGCACACTCCGATCGCCCAACGGTTGACCGTGACCGCCGGCGCATTATTCAATACGGTCGAACTACTTTTAAAACCAAAGAGCCCGGTGCTGCTTAAAAGGCACCAGCTGTGCGCAGCCGCATCAGGAGTGAGACGGGAATGCCCTATTCCCTGCGCCCTCGGGCCAGACTGGCCTCCTACAGCCAATTAGGTCAGACTATTAGTCATTGGTTCCGGGAAGGGTCCTCAACAATAGCCGTTTCGCGGTCAAGAGTCAGAGGCTAAGGTCAGGGTCACCGAACAAACCCTACATCCTTCAGCTGCCTTGTGGGTCAAGCTTTTGAATCAAAGGCTAGAGGTGGGGTACCTTAACTAAACCCCCTTCTTTGGCCTGGGCGACCGGGAAATATCATTCGCCCCTGCAGCTCTCCGCTCACCGGCCTTCCCCCTCTTTTCCCCCAACCCATTGTACAGTGCAATGCAGTCAACCCATTCGCTAATCCTCAAGTTGCTATTCAGTGTCCCAACTATGGACCAGAAAAATAAACAAAAACAATCACCTACTAACCTCAAAAGACCTCATCCACGTTGCAGCCTCCAGTGTTCGTACTCTCTGTCGGATTGGGCAACAGGCATCCCTTGCTGAAACCTTACTTTCCCTCTCTATCGATGTATGTTGTTTCTCCAAAACAAGCCTACAAGACCTCATTTCAGTCGTGCTCCTCAAGCCGCTTAGGACGAACCCAGATGTTCCGCATTTAACTTTTCGGGTATCCGGTGATCCTGACGCATTGGCTCGTGGTACGTTTGGTTTGATAGTTGCGCTCAGCCCCAAGACAAAGCGCCTTACTGGGCTGGATCCCAGTAGACAGTCGCCTCTGTGCTGTGCGGTTGTATGGCTCAACTAAGCTTAACACAGGTCAATGCGGTAAGCGGTGTTTGTTTGTCGTATCAGCATACGCCTCAACAGATAGCATTTCTTAGACTGAGAAGGACGAGTTTTATCAAGATCTAAAAGATCGGCCCCAAAAACCGCACACTCCGATCGCCCAACGGTTGACCGTGACCGCCGGCGCATTATTCAATACGGTCGAACTACTTTTAAAACCAAAGAGCCCGGTGCTGCTTAAAAGGCACCAGCTGTGCGCAGCCGCATCAGGAGTGAGACGGGAATGCCCTATTCCCTGCGCCCTCGGGCCAGACTGGCCTCCTACAGCCAATTAGGTCAGACTATTAGTCATTGGTTCCGGGAAGGGTCCTCAACAATAGCCGTTTCGCGGTCAAGAGTCAGAGGCTAAGGTCAGGGTCACCGAACAAACCCTACATCCTTCAGCTGCCTTGTGGGTCAAGCTTTTGAATCAAAGGCTAGAGGTGGGGTACCTTAACTAAACCCCCTTCTTTGGCCTGGGCGACCGGGAAATATCATTCGCCCCTGCAGCTCTCCGCTCACCGGCCTTCCCCCTCATTCCCCCCAACCCATTGTACAGTGCAATGCAGTCAACCCATTCGCTAATCCTCAAGTTGCTATTCAGTGTCCCAACTATGGACCAGAAAAATAAACAAAAACAATCACCTACTAACCTCAAAAGACCTCATCCACGTTGCAGCCTCCAGTGTTCGTACTCTCTGTCGGATTGGGCAACAGGCATCCCTTGCTGAAACCTTACTTTCCCTCTCTATCGATGTATGTTGTTTCTCCAAAACAAGCCTACAAGACCTCATTTCAGTCGTGCTCCTCAAGCCGCTTAGGACGAACCCAGATGTTCCGCATTTAACTTTTCGGGTATCCGGTGATCCTGACGCATTGGCTCGTGGTACGTTTGGTTTGATAGTTGCGCTCAGCCCCAAGACAAAGCGCCTTACTGGGCTGGATCCCAGTAGACAGTCGCCTCTGTGCTGTGCGGTTGTATGGCTCAACTAAGCTTAACACAGGTCAATGCGGTAAGCGGTGTTTGTTTGTCGTATCAGCATACGCCTCAACAGATAGCATTTCTTAGACTGAGAAGGACGAGTTTTATCAAGATCTATCACGGCAGCTTCGGTCGGCAAGCCGGACGGATATAGTAATCCTCGCAGGTGATATGAATGCCCAACTTGGTGGATTTGGAGTCGATTCTGAGCGTACGGATAATGGAGAGCGGCTTCTTCAGTTGTGTCAGACCACCGTCTATTCCTAGCCAGCACGAACTTCCAACACAAACGCATACACCGAGATAGTTGGAGGCCACCTACCACAAGGCAGTTGTGGATTCAGTTGGACCATATGGTTATCAGTTACCGATGGAGAACCTCAGTTAGGAATACGCAACTTGGCTCTAATCATGCCATCGTGCGGGCCCGCTTAAAACTTCGCTTTTCGCCAGCACTACGTGTGTCGAAAGAGAACAGCTTTGTTCATCAACTTCGACAAGTTTCAGTAGCTGAAGAGTATCGAGCTGCTCTGGCTAGAAAGCTACGAGAAACGCACAAACATGTGGACGACGAAGATTGCTTGGAGGATAAACGGAGGCGAATTGAAGAAGCAATCCTGTCAGCTTTCAGAACTGTTTGTCCAACCCATCTGACTCGATACAATGAACACCGGACGTCTTCGAGGTCAGCAGATTTTAATGCCTCCAGGAAAGCCATACCATCCACTAGCGATTATGATGGCGAACGCAGATCCCTCAAACAACGGATAATCAGGAGCTTAAAGAATGACAGAGAACGCTGGTGGATTTCGAAGGTCAAGGAGATGTAGAAGGCTTTCGCTGCAGGCAACACCTGCGCCCTGTTTCAACCGATCCGAACAACAGGTCAAAAGAAGACTGATGTCAGTAAAACAACATGCGAGAAGGACGGAACAGCAATTCACTCCAACTTAATCGGAAAACGCAAAGGGAACCGGCTACCAGATAAACTAGTCAGGTGGCAGCAACAGCAACCGTGGAACCGATAGGTCACTTGGAATGAATCGAAGGGGTCGCTGGTGGATATTGACAGGATAACATTGCACCGCGTATGGCTGGAGCAAGTTTGACACTTGCCAAATTAATGTATTTTTCACCAGTGTATTGCAAAAAGTGAACAACTGTTCAGCAGCAACACTCAGTGCCTAGCTCTCGTGCCACTCGAGGGATGCATGAGGACTGAGGTAGTGCCAGGTTGCCTAAACTTAGACCAACGTGGTTGAGAGGTGCATGTGTGAACATCAGATACTTTACCAATCATGCCTCTGGCCGAGGTTGACGAAACGCGAGGTGTGATCTACTGACGCCTAATGGGGATAAGTAATTTGATGGCAGCTTTAGGTATGCTGGGTTTCTCTCGAGTTCGTGCTTGGGGCCCATGACGTCTGGGCGCTTTTGGCTGGAAATATTGAATGACATGATCAAGGTGTAGACTGCGGTAGAAGATACTTATTTCCCTCAACGTCTTTTTAAAGCAAACTAGAACGAAAACAAAACACTGAAAATATGCATCCAGTGGAAACATAGGGGCGAGGTATCACTGTCATGCCCTGAGTTATCTATTCACCCCATTTTTTTCCTTTGGAATAATTATATAACCGGAAGATACTTGGATCGAACCCCACCTCTGAATCTTGACTTCTCCTGTCTTGTTTCGGGCAACCTAATAGTGTCCCAGACCTCGTGCTTCCTTCGGGTGGCATAGCAGCTAGGCACCGGTAATTACTGTTATTTATTATCTGGCACAATATCAGTATCAAATGCTATTAAACTCAGTATAATTATGTAGTTACTCTTTCTGACTATCTTGACAGAGTAGTAACAGAGGCGAAAAGGGTCCCGGGCGCTCAATGCCCACTCGTTCGGATCCCACACCGCGTCTTATTCAAGGTGTTGACAATCACGTGTTACTACTGGTTCTCCTCCCCTTCCTGTTCGTTGGATTGCTGGTGGCGAAGTACTTATGGTACCACAAACAACACCGTTCTACATTCAATCCGCACTATTTTAGGGGCCTCGTAAAGCACTCCAGTGATCACCAACTTTCACAACCGGAAAGCACAGTACATTCTGACGGACCTGCACTTGAAATCGAGGACTGTCCAATATGCTGGGATCCGATCGCATTCGGCATCGAAACGAATTGTGGACATAAATTCTGTGGTGAGTACGATGCCAGTTTTGCGCCTGCCTAGCTAAATTTCGCCTGTCACAGTGTGCTGGGCTTCTTTCCAGTGAGGTTCGCACAGGACAATGGGTCACTCCCACTGATGGCATCTTAATTCAACATGATGTCCAGATCTGTTTGTTTCCATTTTGTCAACAGGTTGAGGCACATTATTCTTGGTTTCCTTTAAAGGCATAGGACTTCTTTGCATTGACGCCCCACTGTTTTCATTTCTTTCCACTGCTAGGGCTGTCCTCTCCCATAGTTTTGTGACACCTAAGCACCAGTATGTACTACCGGTTTATTTCTGTCAGTGTTCGTAATGACCACTTACAGCAATAGCGGTCGTTTCCCGTTTTCCCGGCAGACTGTGCTTACTATGAAAAGCCTAAGGCCACAATACAACGTTTTGGAATAAGGTGTTGTAATCCGACGTTTTGGTTGCCGCGGTGATCCTTTTTCAAGGGTTTTTGCTTTGTGTTTACGTTTGCTGTGCGATTTTCGGCCTCCATCGGTGAATTCTACTCATCTATATTCCTGAATAAATTGTTGTTGCGGTGCCTACCCACCGCACTCTTTTTGAGTGATTTTTCTTTGGAAAGAGATTTTCACAGGGCGAGCACTTTTCCAAGGTTTGTCGATTGGATGGCTCATCACGTAAAGAATGCATTGCCAAAAATAGGCTTATACAAATAGTGCATGGGGTGGATTCCTTTTGTCTTTCCAACTGACTAAATATGGTCAACATCTTCTGAGTAATCCATAACACTCCTACCGTTCAGCTTCTTAGATAGACCTGAATTCAGAGCGCGAATTTACTGACCGAAACGTCCGTGGTTCGAACCCGACCTCTGGCTCTCGATTTTCCCTGTCTAGGCTTGGGCAACCTGAAGGTATCTCAGCCTTCGTGCTTCCTTCGGGTGACATGGCAGTAAGGGACCGAAAGGGTGCTAAAGCTGAACGATTTTCATTCTCACTAATTCAGGTGAACTGTTGCACCATAGACAAAACATGGAAAAAGAATATATAGTTCCTAGCTGGTGGAATCATGGCTCACTCCTTGTAATGGCCTTGGGCTGTTACCTTTGTTAGTTCGACTGGTCAAATAGCTATATTCGGCGAGGTACAAAACGTGGGACTCTGTATGACCTACCTCAGTAACTTTATCCCGTGAAACTGTTCCAAGGAAGTTATGTGATTCCTATATGATAGTATATCCGTACACTTGGGGTGCATGATAAAACTAAGGTCTTTGTTTTACTTTTTTCGCTCATTGAACTGACCAGATCACAGCTCGGCTCTGGACTCCACTCAAATCGTTCGTGTCGGACCGGGAATATTATGTTGCGTGCTTACCAACTTGTTTGGGGGAACTCGAGGCAGACATGTAGGGATGGCTGAATCCTGAATACCATCACTATGACATTCAGACCGAAGGTATATCCGGTCAATGATTCAGTTTGTAGCGACTAGATATCATGGCTGTTTTTACATACCACTCTTGATTTCGACGGGACCCAGTTGAATCTCTCGTTTGTGATGTTTTTCAGTAACCTTATAAGTTGTGCATCATCGCTTTGTGTTTCCGCTGCCTACACGACGTAACCTCAGGAAGATTTCTTCCTCTTCCATGGATATTGTGCACTTGTTCTAAAGTTGATTGGTGTCAGACACATCAACACACAAACCTCTACTAACCAATTTTAAAAAAAAAATTTCGTTGAGCCGTGACACCCTCTCGGTGCCTGGCTGTCATGCTACCTGAAGGAAGCACGAGGGATGGGATATGGATTCTATGGGGTCCTCATTGTCAGTGTCTATCCAGATTGCCTGAATGAGTGTCGGGAGGTGTAGGTAGGCTCTTTGGAATGATTGGAGTAAGCTAGCACTAAGTCCGTTCGCCGTCCATCTTTATTCTTTTCTTCACAATGAGGCTTTGAAATAAATCACGACTGTACGTCAGCCAAGCATCAGTATTGAGCACTGATCTCCAGCTGCCGATAATGATGATGATGATAAAAAAACGTCATATTGAATTGGACAAACAGTGCCGTTCAGTACTCGGGGTTTACTTTCCGGAGTTAAATTTTTTATTCAGTGAAAAAGACTGATGAGGTTCATAACTGGCCGTATTATGAAATTAGCGACCCCAAGTACGTTGACTACCTCTTGATCACACAGACCAGATCTCTTTTTGAGAGAATTATTTGCGTAAGGCAGCGATTTTTCTCGTTCACGTGGGTTGCCGCGAAGGGGGGGGGGGGCTTCGAACGATGCCCTCACTTTGCATCCGCCCCATCATGAATGTATGACGGTTATCTGTTGAACCGAATTACTCGACTAGGTCAGCTCCCAGGTTTCTTACCATCTGTTCGCTGTGTACTGTGAGACTAGAATTTTCTAGGGTTCGGACGGAAGTATCTGGTGTTTTCTCGTGTTTGGAAAGATACTCGACTGCTTCATTTTCCCTTATCAGTATTGGATTACCATGGACTTAGGTTGACACATATCAAGGCATAAACTGTTGACATGGGGAACCCCGTTTCGGTTACACTGCGCCAACTTCATACTGTTTATGTATGGAAAAAGTAGCATCGTTTAAGTTGGGCTGCTTCCTACTGAGTGATATTTATGAATAATGTGAGTCCCTTTTGTTTGCTCCTTATGTTTACGCCCCAGTGAATCTTGTTTTTCAGCCCGATGTTTTTGTTTGCACTGGCGGCGCACCTTGTACAGCGTTCACATCTATTGTCCCATATGTCGCGGTCAGGTGAGTTCCCGTTCGTTTGATTACTAGTGTATTCTTCCAACTCTTTTCCGACTTTTTATTCACTGCTTGGTAGAATCTAATGATCGGGATTACAAAAGGTCTAGCCTTCCAGGACGAGGTTCTTGTGTTCCCCTTGTGCTTGAGGGGAGATACTTGAAGAAATGGCTTCAGATCGATGTCACAATGCAATATCCCCGTCACTTCTTATATAAATCCGTATGAGTTGGTGTCTGTGATAGGCTGTTAAAAGACCGCTTTCCCTCTTTTATTCGGTCCGTTTTTTTCGCAGGGGTTATTCGAGTAACTTGACAGTCTTATTAAATTGGTGTTGCTGATCTGTGGAAGAAATTCCTCGAAGGGTCTTCGGCCGATGTTACTTGGTGGCTGATCTCATGCGTTCAACGCGGCCTCATTGCCCTCCCTCAGTCGTTCGTCGGTCATACATGGACCTTTGCAAAATGAGGATATGCTCACTGCATTTTGAACGGTAGATTTACTACCTTTTCCAACAACAGGCCCTATTAGGTTGGTTCAGTCTCTACAATTGTTAAGCCGAATACAATCGGCCAGAGTTTGGATACGTCAAAACGGGTCGGCTCGGCAGCTACTGCTGATGCCGATGGTTTGTTCGAGTGGATTCGTTGACCGTACTTCCGGTACTTCGGCGACCATTCATCCACCCGACAGACCTTTTCAGAGCACCCGCTGGTCTTCGTTGCTTGAAAATCTGAATACCTTGTTTTTATGCTACCTTCACACACTGATCTGGTTGACGAAAAAAAGACGCCTTTAAGTAGCTTGACGCTGTCCTAATATATTACTCACTCACTCACTCACTCACTCACTCACTCACTCACTCACTCACTCACTCACTCACTCACTCACTCACTCACTCACTCACTCACTCACTCACTCACTCACTCACTCACTCACTCACTCACTCACTAAATAAATAAATAAATAAATAAATAAATAAATAAATAAATAAATAAATAAATAAATAAATAAATAAATAAATAAATAAATAAATAAATAAATAAATAAATAAATAAATAAATAAATAAATAAATAAATAAATAAATAAATAAATAAATAAATAAATAAATAAATAAATAAATAAATAAATAAATAAATAAATAAATAAATAAATAAATAAATAAATAAATAAATAAATAAATAAATAAATAAATAAATAAATAAATAAATAAATAAATAAATAAATAAATAAATAAATAAATAAATAAATAAATAAATAAATAAATAAATAAATAAATAAATAAATAAATAAATAAATAAATAAATAAATAAATAAATAAATAAATAAATAAATAAATAAATAAATAAATAAATAAATAAATAAATAAATAAATAAATAAATAAATAAATAAATAAATAAATAAATAAATAAATAAATAAATAAATAAATAAATAAATAAATAAATAAATAAATAAATAAATAAAATATACTGGGCAAACATCTATTGTGCCGACTTTCCAGTACTTTTATTTCATCTCCTGATTCCATTCTTAGAGACACAACAGCCTAATAACAACGATAATCGTTCAGTAGCAACACTCTTTCGGTGCCTAGCCGCCATGCCATCTGAGGGAAGGGGGAAGGTGGAGCCACTGCCACTGATATGGCCAGTCGAGGTGCCGAGATTGGGTTCGAACCACGGACCTTACGGTCGGTAGTTTCGCGCTCGTACTCGAAACAAAAGCCATAGGCAGTGCAGTCACGTTGGCTTAATTTAGTTGACTTTCTGAAACGAAACGCTCTGGAGACAAAAATCCGCTGAGCGAGAGATTTTCACTTATCACAAATTATTTCAACACGTGTGCAGTATGCACCAGGAGATAGTGATTCTCCGAAGGCAGGTGTTCACGACAATTTCTGTGGATAGAAAACAGAGACAAAGCTCATGAGCCGAAGCCCAGTAAGCAATACTTATGTATAAATCAACCAAATAGCAGACACCGTATACTACACGTGCATACTACGCGTGTGCCTATGTGATTGGATGCTCTGACTGAAAGAGTAGCGGCGCTTTACTCACCTAGGTGTGAGTTAACCACACTGCTGATCGACCGCTCCTGGCTGAACGGTTAAGTGTTCAAACTGTTAAGTTGGAGGTCATGGGTTCGAGGCCCTGTGGTTTCGTAAGCTGCGCGATGCTGGTGATTCTTACCAGTGATGAGACAGTTGTACAGTGCCTTCCGGCCTTCCAGCGTAGATGGACTTCAATTACAGGGCGAAACATCCATTATAGTTAGTTTCCGCCAGCGCATAAAGCTCACAAGAACGGGTTAAACACAGTTCTTCTACTTCTGAATAACTTCATTTGAGGCTTAATTGAATTTAAGTACCATGGTGAGATCACTTCTCAACTGTGTCAACTTTTTGGAGCCTGTTTTGGCCAAAATATTTACCAAAGTAGACTAGAAGATCGTTGGACCTTTTCGTCCGATGCCTTGTGATGAGGGCATTATCCCCAACTCAGAGAATAAACTATCGTCTTCGCTTAGACTTAACACGCTACTCATAAGGTCGCTGAAAACTATTCTACAGTTCACGACTGGTATCGCTCTTCTTGAAACTCATCAGGTGGGTGCAGTCCCCGAGTTTCGGTGAACTTGATATTCTACCTGAACCCAAATTGGACGGAATAAGCGAAATACACTCATTTGTATATCAATTTAGCTTTGATGGGAGACTCACCTGGAGCCCAGATGAATCTCTTGTTTTTTTTTCTGAGCGTGCCTACTAATGAGCCCTAGGAAGGGCGAAACCGGTCGTGAGTTGTCGAAGAGTTTTGAGCAACCTTATGAGTAACATATTACCTTTTTATTGCGGAATATTTTAATCCACACTTCTAGGGAGAGATAACCGAAACTGCTGCAGATATGTGCATTGAAAAGCAGCGTCTGTTTGGCTGATACGGGAAAACCGCCATCGCAAGATACCAAAAACAATTCTAGTCACTTGTACACATCGTTCTACTTACCGGAAAATACCATGAAAAACAAACCGTAATTTTGAAGCAGGTTTTATTACACAGCAAACCCGAAACCACCAGGTACAGAAAACTCCTGTGCTTAATATAGTTTTCACTTAAGTTTGATTTTTCTGATCCAACTTCTCTCTCATCTCATAATCATGACAACCTAGCGATGGACAGTATCCAGACACCTTGTTATTCTCATACAAGGCATTCGGTGGCCGGTATGACCTCGTTCAAGCGATCAAGTCCCCTGTTGTGTGTGCTGAAGAATAACGCTCATTTGTAATCAATTTAGCGTTGATGGCAGACTCCCTCGAACCCAGCTGAATCACTAATTTATGGTATTCTTAAACAGTTGAATGTGCCCCACCAGGCAGCCTACTGTTCCACTTAGTACATCATGAACGATGAATTCAGCTGGGTTCTAGGTGAGGTTCCCGTTCAATCCATATTGATATTCAAAGGAATGTATCCATCATCTGTCCCGTTTGAGCCGCCAGTATTACCCTGAATAAGGGCGAAAGCCTCAGAACAACCAGTGCTTGTTCCTTTTTCCGCAGAGATTTCACTCAACGGGTAAATTACAGGTGATTATCTGAATAGGTTGCAAACGATGCTCAACTGACATGTCCTCAGTTTGAGATGCTACCGGATCTTGAAGAGCTAGGCCGCACAATGCTTTTCTTCCTTTTGGGGATCGCTAGATGGCCCGTTTGTTGCCAAACGTGATTAGCCACCAATAGTCAGGTTTCCTGCGTTAAGCAACAGCTATTTTGAACGATATCTAGTTTTCACAAAAAATATTCATTTGCACATTAATTTGGCTTTATCGAGAGATTCAGTCGAATCAAGCCGAGTCTTTTGTTTATGTTCTTCGACTGCCGTCACGAAGAGACTGGACCTTACCTTGGTGTGACGGTTTGCGCACCTCAGCGATCCATTGAGCTATACTGGAGGGTGTCTCGCGACACTCACAGAGTCTCTCATACCAGGTTGGTCAATGGTTAGAGGTCTGACGAACACAGTCTCCTGGCCCTCCAGGTT